TGTTATTTACACACACACACACACACGCACGCACGCACACACACCCACACATACATACAAACACACACACACGTACGTACGTACGTACGTATATATAGTCTGAACTTGGCCCCGATGCCAGAGTGTGCCGAGAATCCCAGTGGGAAATACAGAAATACAGATAACCGAGGTGGTTTATTATTGTAGCGACATTGAATAGGGGGTTGGTGGGTTGACTGGCTCGTTGGCTTGCTGGCTGACTGTTCGGCTGTTGGCTGACTGGCTGCCTTGCTTTCAGCGATGGTTGTGAACCATACTCGACTGATCCAACCAACCATTTCTATTTATATCTCTCTTTTCTCAAATGTTCTATAGTTTATCGTATATTGTTCGTCGGAAAATGTATCTTCAATAGAATATTCAAATCTTACGTAACGTTCATTTAACCGGTATATTAATACTCTAAACATCATTTCCAGCTGACGACATAGATGAAGAAAGTACGTAATTATTACCCAATACTCGGGAATGAAGGGGACGAATGTACGAAATAGGATGAAATATTTTAGAAGATAAGTTGTAGGATATAGGATCAGAAAAGAGAATTTTTATACCTATTTTCATCTGCCTTCTATTAAAGATAAACGAATTCAAAGAATTCATATATTAATAAAAGTCTGCAGTAGTGTACTTCCTAACTGTACAGTATAAACCGTGTTGTCTCCCACTCGCTTGTCTGACGTCGCTAATCTGAAAACCGTCTGCTTTGGTTTAAAAAGCGGGAAGGTTATTACACCCTCGGCAATCGCTGGTCGTTATTACCCGCGATCGGAACGATCGAGACCGAACTGCGTCGATACGCGAGTAGCCAGCTAGCTCGTTTCGAAAACTCGAAGCAACGGGGTCATTGTACTCCGACGCGAGTCAATTTAATGGCAAAGTCGCGAGGCTCGCGTCGAGTAGCCTGCGACGCGTGCATGCGACCGTACGTGTGCAGCGTGCCGCACTGTGCAACAAACAGCCACCGCGGCTTGTAAGCAGCTCCGCTTATCGTAGGGCAAGTTCAAGGCTCGTCGCGGGTCATAATAATCGCGTATCGAACTCCGGCCGGTTCGGAAACAAACGTGTTGTTTGCCGGCGATACAACCTAACACCTCGCCCCTCTCCGCCGCGATAAACCCTCTCCCGCAGTTCCATTACCGCTGACAATTAAGAATCGATACGTTTCACGTACGCCTGAGTGTTCTCTTTCGCGACACGGGAAATGCGAATTGGTCGTTTGAATCGTTTCAAAGAATGTTTTTTTTTCAAGTACTTTCGTAAGTAAGAAATGGAATGGTAAGGGATGATTGTTAAATGTTTATCGTATTTTACAAATGTCAGAAATTAGATTCTTTGATGTTTTTTAACAGGTAGAAGTTGAAGTATGTTTTAATATAGTTTTACCTGTATTATTATGTACTGATAAATATGGTCTTTGATTGGTTTACAAATTATGATGAATGATAATGAACCGAAGAAGTAAGATGATTCTCATCTGAATAGGACTTTCCATTGACCTTACACGACGAGAAAGAATCGACGAGAATATAATAGCAAATGCATCTGAAAGGGTATACAATTTCTTTGATTCGAAGATTAATCACTGATCACGGATTGCAATAGTGGTGAATGAATATCAAAGGGTTAAGATTTAATACCCTAAAGATGTTCTAGCCAAGAGTTATCCCTTGCTTCTTGGCTTTATCGTGCCACTTTCCGAGCTGACCTTAAGTGAGTCACTGACAGCTATTATCGTGACTTTCACGGACAGTCGTGCGTAGGCAGACCGCATCTCGTGATGAGCCGCGATTAAACGAGAAAATTGTTGTTCCGCTCGATGATAGCCTGTCGACTGAAAATAATATGCGATTCCACTGTGGAAGTCGATCGACCGGCCGCGACCCTGTGCCACGATATCGTCTCACCTTAAACATTACGATCTTGACGGAATGGACGATTATGTTGAACTCCGTCTCCTTTTTGCGCCTTATTAAAACGGAGATGTGACGCGCCGAGGCCTCCGGCGAGAAGTAATTGCTGCGGAATTGCACCGTAGACGGTGGACGATGTTTATTTTTCCGTCGAGCGTGTAATACTTGACGCTAAACGATGCCAAGAACAAAAAGTCTGGAGGAAATTGTTGCATTCCGGCGCGAAGCAGAAGTTGCCGGTATTGTAGATCTTGGAAGCTACTCTGATATCGCGAAATGCGAAATATGTAGGTTTTTAAAAAATATTTAGGATCTTTGAAAATAACGTGATTAATTTAATTGGTTGATAGAATCTTTGGGTAAATGATAAATCTGGATAAATAAGTTTGGTCACTGGTGGATAATAAAATTCCCCTGTACTTTTCTCAAATCGTCTGCTACGAATTTTAAAATATACTAAACATTGCTCAACTGCAAATTTGCAATAAATTACATTTTTCTAATAGGAAACACGAATCTCCTAGAACATACTTGAGGTACAAACTACCTTGTACATTCAAACATCAATCTAACTCTCTGAACCGCAGTGGCTGGTAGAACAACCTCCGTTACCAAGATTAATTACGAAACTGCGTACGCACTCAATTGAGTAACCTTGCTGCCCTTCGTCCCTTGAATAATAATTAATCTGCATAATCTAGAAACACGTCTCACCCCTTAAGCTTTTAACAAAACATGGATGTTCTCGAGTAATCACCCTTTAAGGGTTAGAAAAAGGAGTGAATCGTAGCGAGTACCAATCTGGGGAGATCAAATTCTTCGACTTCCGGTAGAATCACGGTACAGTGAACCGTTTACTCGATTTCACTACCAAAAATCATGCCGACAGGGAGGGGGTGGCCGAAGGGCGAAAGGAAAAAAGCCAGATGGAAGAAAAAGAGGCGCGGATGATAGATGCGAACGGGCACGAGTCGAAGCCAGGCGTGTGTAGGCCCGCCGTCACAACAACCCCGCACCCTACCAGATCTTAACACCCTCTTTATCCCGAGGGAAAGCCTCGCCCCCGATGTCTTTGCTCGCGAAACAGGCGGCCACCCTCGGGTTCATCGTACACCTGCCGTTGAGGGGGTATCCATCGCGCGATGCCCCAATTTTTATCGTCTTTCTCGTTGTTTTGACCCGGTTCCCGCTCAGCAGGGGGAGCATTCCGAGATGGAGACGGCATGGGGTGTACGCTACCGTCCACAAACGTTGAATCAGGTGTACCTTGCACTACGAAACGCAAATTAACATAATATAAATGGATTGATGATCCACTAGCGATTGAATAATTTGAATTTAAATGTTAATATTTTAAAATAGTTTAAAAATTTCATTTGAAAGCTTGAGTACATCAGAGAATATTTTCAGGGTTATCGAATTGATTTTTCATGAATGATTGAATGGTGCTTAAAAAGTCAGAATAGTACGGACGAGTCTAGAGCATTGGAACCTACAGCACAGGAAATCGCGATCCTAGGTCTCGCGATTGCCGCCCTCCGACACCGATCGACCCTCCAAAACAGTCGCTATTTATATGGTTTCCCCGCAATTCGATCGATACTTATACTGAACTCACTGTCTCGCACGCAGAGTCGTCCGCGGACCTGTTAATTGGCCGCATCGTCGCCTCTTTATGCCAAGGTTAGCACGATATGCCGGCTATCGTTCGGTCGGGGGGAGAGAGAGAGAGAGAGAAAGAGGGAAAGAGGGGGAGAGAGTGTATTCACCACAGGCGATACCGAAAGAGCTGCGGACGCCCACGCGGACGCTTACGCGTTCTGTTACGTATTACGTTGTCGCGGGACGAGAGGCGATTCACACGTGGTCGCCGACAATTACGAGATGATTCTCGTGGAGGGAAACCGGCGAAGACAGTGTCTGGAAAACAAGCGTCTCGTCGCGT